GAGGAGCATCAATTATTGATACTTGGGAACAGATGGCTTTTCTTGTACCGGGGCAGCGAAATGTAAGAGGAGCCTGTGGGTGAGGATGTGCAGATTAGATGGGCAGATACAGATCAGATAACCAGCCTTCAAGTGGAACAGGAACCTTCCTCCTAGAACCTAGAGCTCTCATCAACAACCCCGGCTGCAGAAACAAACCCACTGACATCTGAATTAGTGAGGCTTCACCAGAACCTTTCAACGCTCCCTCACCTCTGTACAGAACATCCTGGACACGATGACTGACAGCTTCCAGACAGCAGAGGCCTGACAAACCAGGCAACAATTGGTCTCTCTAGGAGACCCTACTGGTTGCATTTCACATGGTCATCCTCATCTACTGCCCTGTGCCATGTAAGGTTTACTCTTGAGACCATATATGTTGTCCTAAAGTGACTCCTTCCTGTCTTCCACCGCCTTCTGTATCCCACTCAGGTTGCTGGCCTTCAGAATCAAAGATTCAAGTGATTTGGACTGGTGGCTTCAACCAGAGCCTCTGTCATCCTGGACACCTGCTGTGAGTGTTCCCATGTCCAAGAGCAGACCGTTGGACTGACACCCTCATGAAGCAGGAAGACCAGCTGAGTAAGACTGATTCTCCACCAAAGGCAGCTGATTCACCAGACTGAACACAGTGGCTCCAGAGACGAAAGCTTTTCCTGAAACTTTCATGAACAGTCTCTGTACCCACTGCTGGAGCCAGGCATCTACATCCATTTCCACTCTGGTGTAGTTGTGTCTTTGCTGGAAGACTAAAGAACCAGCAGCTGCACTGACTCAGACCTCAGCCCGGGCAGCCCAGGGTCCTGTCTCAGGCAGTGGTTACAAGCAGCCACCCGGGGAAGTCAGAACTGGGCAAGCCAATGGTGATACCTCCTCTATTACTGCAAGAATGATATTCCTCAGCTATTTTCCATTTGGGGATTTCACAAGCCAGACACCACCTCAGTACACAGTGACTCAATTCAGTTTTCCTCTCTGGATGTACCCCTTAAATACTGTAAATGGGCACTCACTTTCCCAGCCAGGGCAGATTAAATCCATGGTTATTCTGCTGAGCAAGGCAGACTTTCTTGCTACCCTCCCCAGGCCCAGAAGGTACCTCAGGACCAAAATGTCCAGGCCCTTGATATACGGGGGACCTCCTCACAGTTTGGAAAAAAACTCTGTTCTTTTGGCCTCTGCTCAGAGGTTTTTCCAAAGCTTCATTACTCTGATAATTAGACATGCTCCTCTCATTTTTCAAGCTGACTAATCACTGATTTCTAATTCCTCTGAGTCTGCCTAGGGTCATGCAGCCTGCAGCCTGTGAGAGTCCTAAGACACGTACAATCTTGCGATTTGGAAAAACACAACTTCCCAGCTTCCGTCTTGCTCTGGATCGATGGCAAAGTGCTTGACCTCCTGGAAATTCAGCCGCTAGTCCCACAGAGCAACAGGAAAAATCACATTCATTTCCACAGAGATTTTATCACCTCAGTCTTGGCATGGGAGAGGCATCTCCGCCCAGCTGTGAGCAAGCAAGCGCATTCTGCTGCCTTTTTTTATGTAATCAGAACAAATTCCTCAGAGATGAGTCACAGGGTTTCAAGGGTGTCCAGAGAGATGTCAAGCAGACCTCAAGTGTAAATCAGTGACACACCTTGCCAAGAGGACACATGCTCACCGGCAGGTCCCTTTCCTCTGAGGACACCAGGCAAGGGAAGGGATTCGATGGATGTTCCCAAGGAGGCTCCCACGAGCCACATACACACGTGGCACCTCCAGACCCAGGACGCTGCTGGTGTTTACATTTCCTCTCTAAAGGCTGCAATGGCTTCAGGGTGTAGCTGGAGTGTTTCCCTACAGCTGCTCTCTAGGCTTAAACACTGAAGATTTTTGGTCATCTGGGCTGGAGGAGCTCGGCAGTCAGGCAAAAGATTTGAACTTCCGAAATAGAGGTTCTGCCCCACCAAAGCCTGGTCAAACCGCAGGGGCTCCTGCCTGAGATGTTAGTTATGGTGGAACAGCTGCATCTTATAGCAATTGTTTCAGTGCTGTGATGTTGCTATGTTAAGCAAACCTTTTCCGCTCTCCTACCCAGGAACAAGTACTCCAGCCTGCATGGGTCTACAGGCCAGACAGAGGACAAAGATGATACTTGCATCATTTCAAGGCACAGCCTGCTTTAGTGGCTGCTTTTGAGGCTGAAACGTAGAGGAGGACCAGCAAGAATTAGACCTGGATGCAATCTTGGAGTCCGAAGTAACATTGAGGAAAGTGCTGCTGGGCTTTTGGGTGTCAGAGAAGAAGGAACAGACAAACATCTTAGTGGAGCTTGGGTTAGTCTTCTTTCATTAGTGCCAAGGGCAATGTTTGGCACAAGGTGCTAGTGCAGGACAGCCTTCCGATTTAAATGACTTGCAGGTCTCCCTTCAAACGGAGTGTGCAGGATGCTTCCAGTCCAGATTGAGACAAATCTCCACTTGTGTGCTCTCTGGGGGCAACTGCAGAATACACAACTCAACTATCATGCCCTTCACCTTTCAACTTCACCCTTAGGTGACTAACAATTACCAGCTACCATTAATATTAAATGGGAAAGAAAGAAATGCAATCCTCTCTCTGTTCTTCACATTCCACAATATCACAAACAATTTGTCATATTGGGAGGGGCAGAGGCAGGAGGAGCATCAATTATTGATACTTGGGAACAGATGGCTTTTCTTGTACCGGGGCAGCGAAATGTAAGAGGAGCCTGTGGGTGAGGATGTGCAGATTAGATGGGCAGATACAGATCAGATAACCAGCCTTCAAGTGGAACAGGAACCTTCCTCCTAGAACCTAGAGCTCTCATCAACAACCCCGGCTGCAGAAACAAACCCACTGACATCTGAATTAGTGAGGCTTCACCAGAACCTTTCAACGCTCCCTCACCTCTGTACAGAACATCCTGGACACGATGACTGACAGCTTCCAGACAGCAGAGGCCTGACAAACCAGGCAACAATTGGTCTCTCTAGGAGACCCTACTGGTTGCATTTCACATGGTCATCCTCATCTACTGCCCTGTGCCATGTAAGGTTTACTCTTGAGACCATATATGTTGTCCTAAAGTGACTCCTTCCTGTCTTCCACCGCCTTCTGTATCCCACTCAGGTTGCTGGCCTTCAGAATCAAAGATTCAAGTGATTTGGACTGGTGGCTTCAACCAGAGCCTCTGTCATCCTGGACACCTGCTGTGAGTGTTCCCATGTCCAAGAGCAGACCGTTGGACTGACACCCTCATGAAGCAGGAAGACCAGCTGAGTAAGACTGATTCTCCACCAAAGGCAGCTGATTCACCAGACTGAACACAGTGGCTCCAGAGACGAAAGCTTTTCCTGAAACTTTCATGAACAGTCTCTGTACCCACTGCTGGAGCCAGGCATCTACATCCATTTCCACTCTGGTGTAGTTGTGTCTTTGCTGGAAGACTAAAGAACCAGCAGCTGCACTGACTCAGACCTCAGCCCGGGCAGCCCAGGGTCCTGTCTCAGGCAGTGGTTACAAGCAGCCACCCGGGGAAGTCAGAACTGGGCAAGCCAATGGTGATACCTCCTCTATTACTGCAAGAATGATATTCCTCAGCTATTTTCCATTTGGGGATTTCACAAGCCAGACACCACCTCAGTACACAGTGACTCAATTCAGTTTTCCTCTCTGGATGTACCCCTTAAATACTGTAAATGGGCACTCACTTTCCCAGCCAGGGCAGATTAAATCCATGGTTATTCTGCTGAGCAAGGCAGACTTTCTTGCTACCCTCCCCAGGCCCAGAAGGTACCTCAGGACCAAAATGTCCAGGCCCTTGATATACGGGGGACCTCCTCACAGTTTGGAAAAAAACTCTGTTCTTTTGGCCTCTGCTCAGAGGTTTTTCCAAAGCTTCATTACTCTGATAATTAGACATGCTCCTCTCATTTTTCAAGCTGACTAATCACTGATTTCTAATTCCTCTGAGTCTGCCTAGGGTCATGCAGCCTGCAGCCTGTGAGAGTCCTAAGACACGTACAATCTTGCGATTTGGAAAAACACAACTTCCCAGCTTCCGTCTTGCTCTGGATCGATGGCAAAGTGCTTGAGGTGAACAAATGCCAAGAGCCAGGACAGCGCTACTGTCCATGAACAGTACAAATTTTCACAACATGGAGTAGGATGTAGAAACTTTTCCTACCTAGGAGCCAATGAAGACCTGGGCCACATCTGTGCTGGGAAAGATTGAGCTCTACCAAAAAAGCAGCAAACTTCCCACTAGAGAAGCTTCGACCAGCGTCCAAGTTTGCTCTCATTTGCTACAGGAAAAGACAGACCTGAAAGAGTGTCTTTATACTGCTGTGTAACACCAACACGAGGGCTTTTGTTCCTCTAAAAATGCCGTTCATCTCACTGCCATAGTACCAGAGAACGTTTCCAGTGTAGATCTGGCTTTAAAGAGCAGTCTCTGCAGAGCCGTGATGTGTTTACACTAGCTAACTGCTGCCGAACAGTCAGCTGAGAGCTAACATGCACGGGCTAATCTCACCTCCCCCACATTTCACAGGGGCTGAGGAGGGGATCATCTAAGTGAAAGAAGCCGATGGATTAGAGAGCAATACAATGGATCAAAAAGCAGGAGGCGGCCGCATCTTTTCAACCCCAGAGCACAATTGCTCCCTTTCACCCTACTCGAGTTAACGTTTATGTGAATCTTTTCCCTGCTGCCTGAAGAAGGAATCACATTATATACACATTCCAGAGAACTTTTCCCAGCAGAAATAACCGTTTTTAACACACATTGCGCTTGGGAGAATGTCTAGATTTTTACAGGCAAATGCATGGGTGGAGCTGTGTTTTGACCCATACAGGAAAGCCGTAAGTTGACATCACCATCCCAGTCAGGCTCTGGAGTCGGGGCGGTCGGCAGGCTTGGGAGGAAGATGTGCTCACCAGGAGCTCCCTACCTCTTTGATGGCAGACATCTTGATGTTCTCATAGTAGTGCAGCGGTGCATTGGGTGAACTCATGTCATAGCCAAACCCAGCTACCGCCACCTCATCACAGTTGTGGAGCGCCATGGTTATTGCTACGCTTCCCAAGGTGGGGATGTTCTGAGAGGAGAGAAAGCAGGAATGGAAGTCATTAGCAGGTTGCCATTTCTATAATCAAAGATTTCCTCTTATTGTCTCTGCTGCTACTAAGCAGAAAATCAGGAACAGGGTATTTGGCTTTATCTGCACATCAGCTGCCCAGTGCCAGTTTGCAGGGTCAATCGCCTGCCAGCTTGTAAAGAAAATTATATGTTAGCCAGCTTCCTGCAAATTATCTGGCACAAAAGCAGCAGCCCTTCTTTGAGGCTCTATGACCTGACTCTCCAGGGGGGTATTTCAGAACAGAGGGATTAATGCAAATGGTCAGACTCCCCTTCCACAACTTTGCTATCCTGAGATCAGGACAGCAGACGAGCTGGAGGATGAATAACTGTGGATATGTTAATTTTCTGACATTAAAATGGGCGTAGATACTGGATTACAAATTCTATGCACATTATTGGCTTCCAGGTAGACTAAGGAGAAATACTTATCCCAAATAGGCCATCACACAGGAGCAGAAGAGAGGAACAGTACAAACTCTTTACTTTACTGATGGCAAAAGTCATTTAAGGAGGTCATTTGAACGCTCTGGGAGATGGAGATGAGGTCAGGAAGACCCAGTCAGTGTGCACTGAGCTCCCTTCCTTTGCTCAGAAGTGCATCCCAACAGGCCAAAGAAGCCTCTGGCCTGTGCCATAGCCTTCCTAGCCACAGCATACTGGGAAGACGAGGAGCAGTGGGAAGCCAGCCAGAGATGGGTGCAAGCCCCCTGAGCAGGGACACCCCGACTGATCGCTCTCGTCTGCTGACACACCAAAGTCTAGCCTCAGCCCTTCCCATCTGGCTTCTGAGGAGCCCCTGTGGTGCTGTACGGCTGCAACTCCTCTTGTGCGTTCAGATGAACATGACCGCTGTGTTTCCAGTGTAAAACCCTAGCTCGCAGAGTTTTCTAGCTCGCCTTTAGCCAGATGAATCCAGAGGTAGCTTTACCCCAGGGGCTAGGGAGAGGCTGAGAAATCCACCCACATATGTTATCTCCATTCGTAGAGCATCCAACACCGGCCATATCAAAAGTAACATGAATTCAGAGGACATGCTCAGACAGTCACCAAGGGTGACAGCCGCTTAGCTGAGATGTAGAAACCAACTGCACGCTTATGTTTTGCATTTGAAATGGTTTACCCTGAACCGGTGAGCAATGCTATTGCATTTCACCTGATGTTTGTAACAGTCTGGGAACACAATGTTTTGAGTTTCTGCCTCTCATTCAAAGGAACTGGCTTTTGGCAGCACACTACCTTGCTGACTTCTGATTGCCTGACCAGTCCCAACATTTTCCAAGCAGAGAATGCCACCCATACCCTAGCTGAGATGCGCAGAGCTGGGAGTGCAACACATGTGCTATGGAGAACTCCATTACAGTGCACTGGAATTACACTGATTTGAAGACAGACGTGCAAAACCTGCTTATGGCTAAATCAGTGAGACATTAAACTCAAAACATATGCAGTGCAACTGTAATGGTGCCCATCTGCAATGAAAAGACCTTACTACATCCTCCTCTGCTGGCTCTAGATATTAGGAAAAACAGCAGTCATTTTGTTCTCACTGCTTAATTTCAATTGACAGTCACCACAAATAATATTGGTTTTATTCTGCTTACTTTAGTTAATTGTTAATTAACTTCAAGGAGGGGTTTAAAAAAATATATCGAAAGAAGTGTATTAGGCAAGGACAAGAAAATTCCCCCGAATTTCAAAATATGCAAGAACATCCTGTCTTCCCAGACATGGCTGTTCAAATTCAGATATTCTCAGTTTTATGTTTTACATGGGAGATTACATTCGGATGTCACTGGAATTGCATCAGCTGGTAAGTGGACTTGCCACAAAACCTTTTCCCTCAGCTGAGCTGTAGTTACAGTGTCCAAAACATAGTGAGTAAATGGTTATGTCCTTGAGAACGTGTCGCTGTTGGGAATACGATGGCGTTAACACCACCCCCAATTGCACTGGGCCCATTCCCACGGTACAGCTCAAGGGAGACACGGGGTCTTTGCCTGGAGGGAATTTCACTGGCAAAGTTAACATTTAAGAGCTAACTTTCTAATGTGACTCTTACAAACCACAAAGAATTAATCATACTACCCAACGTTACGGGAGGACTGCCAAACTACCATAACTTTCTTTCAAGCATACTCTTATATCTGTTTGGAGAATAACAGATTACAGAAGTCAAAAGTGAACTTTCTTTTGGTCACCAATTTATCTGCCTGACTTTTTTCCTACGTACAATACCTCCTCCAGTGGCCTTTATGGAAAAACAGGAGACAATTTTCTCATCTGCTTCTGTTCTTCACTAGTCCCTGACATGCCAGTATCTCAGTACTGCCTGCTCCTCTCTCAAAAATTATTAAAATACCAAAGACTACCAAAAACTTCCTAACCTCTCGGATTGTAGTAGATGTATTTGTTTTGGCCCCTACAACTATTAGAAAATCATATAGTGTCCTTAGCAAAATTCACATTCAGGAACTTATGGCTCTGATGGCAGTTTTTAATTAAATTATGCCTTATTGATGTTAGCATCCTCCAATACTACAATAGCTACAGCCTAGTGAGTGTATCCCCCTTGAAAACAGAGACTTGCAGCCATTCACACCCTCACTGCTGAGATGTAGCCTCACGTTCCACTGCTGCAGACAGAACCGCGTGGGCTAGAGAGGACCACCTAGAAAATTCTGTAAAAATTATCCCTGCTATTCACTGAGGGCAGTAACTGTTCGAGCAGCACAGAGGTGCTTGCAGAACCCGCCCTTAGTAAATGGTGTGGATAACAGCACCTGCTAAGAGAAGAACATGAGTACAAACTGTGTGTACACCCACATGTGCCTGGATCAAATACACATAACTGGGCCTTTGCTCCAAACTGCTTACATTAAAGAAGAAGCAACCGTCAGAAAGATTAAACAGTAACTGAGGAATTAGAGAGACTTGGAAAAAAAAAGGACCCAGCTTAAACAGAAGTATGAAAGAAGCATGATTGGTGGTTAACAGCATGTCATTAGTAAGGCAATACAGTGTATTGATCCTGATTTGGTTTAAACTACAGAAACTGAGCTGTTTTCTCTTGTGACAGCCTGCTGAGCTCCTGCTCCTCCTTCCCTCTGCTGAAAATGAAGCACTGCCTCATGTCCAGCTCGCGGCATGGGAAAGGGAAGGCTCTGTAGGATGTAGGGATGTGTCCCAGGCTGTGCTGCAGGGAAGCCAACTCAGCAACGTTCTCCAGGTCCAGGGGAAAGGGCTCTCCTCTTAGCAGAGAAGTGCAAATGTGAGGGGACGTGTATCAGAGAGAGGAAATGGTTATAATTATTAGCCACATCTACACAGTTTCCAAGCTCTCCAGTTATAATTATTCTATAGCCACATCTACACAGTTTCCAAGCTCTCCTGATTGTACACAGACATATAAAACCATTTGCTGCTAAGCTCTAATCCGAATCTAATGAACCACGTACAACCTTTGGGGCAAGCTAGGGGACAGGTTGCTCCAAAAGAAGTTAGGCATCATGGACACTGTTGTGCCAAAGCTGGCTTGCTATGCCCTGCACAATGCGTCAGTGCTATCTCACCACACACACCCTTGTGCCGTGCCCGAAAGACATACCAAAGCAACCACCACACCTCTCGCATTGAGTTATGAAAATAAAACTCTCTCAAACAACTGAGCAGGCCTCTTGTTATTCTAGACCATTGCTAAGGAAAAAACCCAAAATCGCAACATCCTGCCTCAGGGGTTGGTTCAACTCAAAGCCTGCCTTCCTGCTCGTGGCCCTCTATGTGCTTGGGTGCTCCTGTACCACCAAGCAATGCTGCTTTCAACCGAACGGTTGAAGAATGGCTACCCAACAGTGGCCCGTGCCGAGGCAGGAGCCTCCTGGGATGCCTCCCAGCTGCACAAAGACTGGCCAGTGCAGGCCAGCCCACAGCAGGGGGCTGCCTGGAGTAGCCCAGCAGGACCACTGCTCCAGATGTGGCCATGATGAGTGTCTGACCTGAACTGGTTTCCACCAGTCAGGGAGAGCTGGGAATGGCAAGGCCCCAGAAAGCACTAGCGGTCCTCTCCCCCTCCCTGTTCCCTGCCACAAGCCTTGAACTTGCCCTTCCAAGCTCTGTGTCTCATAGGTTTCTGTCCCAGCTGGGGCCCATGGTGGGTACCAGGTTCAGCATCCCCTCTCAGCACTGGTAAACAACTGCAAGGGCAACCTCCCTGGATAGCTTGGCCTGAACTGACAGTCCACATTTCCAAGCCTGGCCTGCTTGTCTGAGCCCAAACATCTGGAAAATGTAATATCTAATATAATGCTCCCCAGAGATCAGCCCTTTGCCTGGACCCATTTGAGAGAACGCAGCACACTGACAGATGAGCCAGAGACGACACCACAAGGCCATCTGACAAACAGAAGCAGCAGACACAGCAGTGGTGAGCGACACGTCGCCGCAGCAGCGCTGGGCAAAGGCTGCCCCTGCCTCCCACGCGTGGCTCCTTCCAGGGGAGGTGAGCACATGCATGGTGGATCCTGGGTGAAAAAAAAACATAAAGGCACCACAGGCAAAGATGCAAAGTCTTGTGCTGCGCCCGGGATCACGGCAAGCTCTGTGCAGTGCAAACACAGCCAGTCTGTGCCACCAGGTCAGGGGACCAGAAGTGCCTTTATCAGCAGACAGACATAGGACAGGTTCTCCCAACTGCTCCTACACTCTCCTCTGCTGCAAAGGGAAAGATAAAAGTCTTCCCCTCAAGACATTGCTGTTTCATCTGCTATTGGTCCCCCTGAAGAGGCTCTAAAGACTGACTTCTACCCACAAGAAAGAAGCCAGCCAGCAGAAATGAACACCAGCCTGCCTTTAGACTTACTGGGGGCTGAGCATCACCTCCTGGGACTGCTCTGGGGATCCAGTGCTGGCAACTGAACCAGGGGACTGTAACTGCTCTTTGCTTGGTGCATGTGAAAAGCT